CATACGAAAAAATTATAACTTTGATTATCAATCTTCTGTTTTTAATTCTAAAAAATGTCATAAGTTCATTTGTAAGACAGTGAAAATATGATAACAAGTAAGCATAAATCTTTAACTGTAAGTGTAATAGTATATGAAATCGAAATCCCTCAACTAAAACCTTGCTAAGAATAATTATGCTTATTCATGATCAGCTTAATCGGGATTTATAACGTGAAATAATACGAGAAATTATAAAAGTGATTTTTGTCTATTAAGCTAATTAAATCAGTAAAGTCCATTATGTAATGTATGATCTTATCGGGATTTTCAACATGTCTGAGATCTAAAATAACAAAAGATTGTGCTTATTAGCAAATAGCAGTCACAAAAATATATTATTAATTTCAAAAATATTTTAATTACAAAACATTTACAAAATTACAACCAAATGGCAGTAACGATTATACAGTTGCTTGATCTTTAAATGCAATATATAAGCATAAACTTCTTAAATTTGCTTAAATGAACTAAAAAACTTGAAGTTTGCAGAAGTGTAAAAAACACAAAGTTTTTAAAGTATTATTATCAAATTGCTATTTTCAACTATACTCAAGTTTTTTTCACCGCTCATTTTTAAATACCTTTAAATATATATATATATATTTTTAAATTTTATCAATCAAACATTTTAATAAAGTAACGAGTTATTTTCAGAATTATACTATGATTATACTAGCAATTGAATTTTACAAAAATGAACTTATTAAAATGAAATACTTATTTGAAAATTACTTTTAAAATAACTTTGTGTTTTTTACACTTTTTATGCGCAAATGATTGCAAAAAATGATAATTTTTTAAGTAAAAAATGTAAATTTTAAAAAAAATAATCAAAAAATACTTTTAATGAATAATAGTGAGTTGGTAAAAATTATAAATGTTTTACGCCGTTTTAATTTATTTTAAAAGATTAAATAGCTGCTGATAATTTTTTAAATCACACAAATAACAAGCATTAATTTGCAAATAAAAGAATGAATCAATCAGCTTAATTAATGCCTCAAGCGTGAAGGAAATGAGTTTACTTCAATTACGCTTTACTTGGATTTCTATTTCCAATAGTAATTTGCATATTATTTTCAAAAGTTATACTTCAGATTTACTTAATTATAATTGTTTTTAAGTAATGTTTTTGATCTATTTTCATAGACTTATAGAACAGTGCAAAAAAATTTTTTCACTTAAACAATAAAGTAAAAAAATGAATGACCAGTATATCCAATCATCAATCCATGAACTACTTACGTATTTCTTACTTACTTTTAACTGACTGCTTATTTACTTACTTTCGCTATCGAGAGATGTCAAGTTAAGTAACATTACCAAAGTTATAACATTTACTTAATGATGACTTGTCAGCAGGAGAAATAAGTAGCAAGCATTAATTTGTTGGCAAAAAAACTTCAAATTATATCGTTTATGTAATTTTGTGAAACAAATAATAAAATAAATATAAATATGCAAAAGATTTACAAATATAAAAATAAAAACAGAGAAATATGCAAATATACTGACCATTTAGTGAATAAAAAATACTGTAGATGAAGATGAAAATGTTTTATAATTAAGCAAATTTGCATAATTTTAATAATATTGTGAATACGCAAAACCAAAACGTGCGCAACGTGCGTACGTTTTGGTTTTTAAGACAGTAAGTTGAAATTTGCCCAGTTTGGCGTTTGCCCATAAAATAGAGTAAGTTTGCTAGGTATACTTTCGCAAATACATAGATAAATAAATGACTAAGTAAAAACAACAGCACAAGAGAAAAGAATAGATAGGCCTATTGAAGAAAGGCGTTAGTCTGACTTACTTATCTAAAATGCTAATTTTTTCTTTACTTCCTTCAAGTTGCAAAAATTTTGTCGATTTTACGCATTTTTATCTTTATTTTAGTACTGTTTTTTTGAGTAAAGTAATCTCTCGGGATTTCCCGAGACTGACTGACTGACTATTCAACGATTTCTTGATAAAATTCCTTCCCTCTTCCTCATTACAGACAGTAATTTATCCATCCACAATTTTTTGCTTTTTTATTGAAAAGTCTTAAAGTTTAATAGCTAACAATCTTAATTGAATTTTTGTTTGGTGAAGAAACGATTTGAAAAAGAAAAAATTAGCAAAATTAGAAAAAAAAACTATTAGTAAAATTAAATTATTATTTTTATCGTCATAAGTATTAGTAATAATTTATTTTGAATTAATTTGTCATTTTTGAAAAAAAAAATGAAATATAATTATTTAATAAAAAAGTTTGAAAAAATATTTTCAAAAAACACAAAAACTGAAAATATAATTATTTAATAAAAAAGTTTGAAAAAATATTTTCAAAAAATATTAAAAAAATAAACAAAAATTGATAAATAGTATAATATTTGTGGTGAAAATTAAATTAATTTGACAAACAAATTTTACAATTGCAAGCAAATTTTGTGAGTTTTTTCAAAAGCTTTCAGCAATTTCATTACTTGAAGGAAAGGATTAAGCAAATGGCTAAGTTCTTAATTATATCCGAGACTACTCTTGAAAATCACCACATTTCCTTCTTCTTCCTTAAATGTCTTAAAGTATGCTTACTGCATTTTATACTTCAGCTCAAGCTAAGACATAGCATGCACTAAGCTTATCTCAAATCAAAATAATCATACACACAAATAATTCTTTTTTTCCTTCTCATATTCCAATGTATTACTATTATTATCATCATTATCATTAATAATAATAGTGGTAATCAATTAAGATATTATCAAGATTGCATTTATCACAATTAATTTTAACATCACAGCTAGCTAATAGTAACTATAATTCATATTCATCATGTAAATTATAGCATTCCTGACTGATCAACATACACATTATAGCTATTATAAATAAGCATCAATTTAGCGCTATTATCACTGTCTCCAGCAACCATCATAAATAGCATTATTACTATTAAAAATAAGATGAAAGCAATATAATAAATTTATACGTTCTATGTCACTACAGTAATCTCAATACATGAATAACTTCATATGTGTTATCAATATTATCCTTTACACATTCTTATCACCATATGATAGAAACACTAAGAGAATCAAAATTAAACAATCACTTTTTATTTCCATCTACATTACTGTCAACCTGATTTTAATAACAGTTATTGACTGATTAAATTTTTGTGCTTGATATATTTTTGTACTTCAATATTTGCTATATTTGAATACATTTCAAGTATTCAAATATATATTCAAATATATTTCAAGTATTCAAGTATTGAATTGTTTAATTTGTTTATTATCAAATTATCCCCACACACAGTAAGTGATAAAAAAGTCATCTTTTGATTAAAACTTGTGAAAATTGTGAATTTGATAATTTTAATAATTTTGAGAATTGAATTAGCTTAATATTATTGCAAATGAATAGATAATAACTTGTGGTAAAATATATACATAAGATGACAGTTTTATGAACACAGTAATTAACTTATGATCATTTTTTGTACAGATATCACTTTAAAAAAAGGTATAATAATGCTTATTTTTGGCTATTGCATAAATTATGCAATTTTTAGAAAAATTATTTATATCTTTGGCTTGTTCTTTTGAATAAAAAATATTTACTTATGAGTTTGCACTGCTGAAAACTTTATATTTAATATATTAATTTTTCTTAATTTAATAATTATTTACAAATTTTAAAATGATCAGAAATAAAAAAATAATCAAAAAATAGGTTATGTTAATCTCTAATACACTTTTGTCTTTGTTTCTATTTTTTATTCAAATACTTGAAATTAATAACTTTAATCGGAGCACTGAATTTTGTAACATTAAAAATATCGAACAAATTAATTGAGGGAATAATAAAGCTATATTTGTACTTATGATTTTAAATTTTTGACCCCAATTACACAAACTTTTAATTAATTAGTTATTCCCTGATCTCAATTAATTTTATGTGGTAGTAAAATTACGGTAATTCTTCGTGAGGTAGTGAAATTAAGGTCACGTTCGATTATCATTATCGTTGTAAATTTACAATATCGTATGGTTGTTATTGTTGTAAAGCTAATATGTAGTAATTACTAAATCTTTTTGATTTAATATTTTGTCAAATTTAATGTCTACACAAAATAAAATTCTTCGTCAAATATTTTTACCAAAAAGAGCATATCAACAAATCATACTTGAAGTGACTGTTATTATGATATAAATATTATTAAAAAGTTAAAAGTTAAAAAGCAGACATTAAATTTTTTGACGAATGAATTTTCTTAGTAAAAAAAGAAGAAAAACTTCATAAAGTAATGCCGTGCATGAACTTCGACGTATACTTCGTTGTCGACGTGACATTTGGATAGAATGACGCGGTGAGGTAAGTCTGGGACGTGAAACTGATAAATTTCTACAGAAAAGCAGTTTACTGCTTTCAGCTTTTTCTCCAATCATTTCACTTGACCTCTGCAAATTATGCAGTCATTTTAATTTTGATAAGAATGTTTAATATTTAACAATAAAACATTTAATAAAATATATGGCTTTTTCTACGGTCAGTTATTAATAACATGGAAGTTTTGTTAACGATATTATTGCCAAATATATATTGTTATGATAAAATTTTTCAAAACAAAAAACACTTTTTTAGCCTTCATCAAAAAAGTAATCTGTGATTATTAATTTCAGTAAGTGCTAAAAAATAAAAAAAATATTCGACTAAAATTTCAACTCTATCAAAATTATAAACAATAATCTGTGATAATAATAATTTGATTAAAAATAGACTGTAATAGCATATGTTTAATTTCTTTAAATTACTGTATACCAGTACAGTATCAAAACTAAACTATTATCAGCTACTATCAGTCATTATCGGCTATTATCAGCATATATCTCATACATTTTAAAAAAATTAACGCAGCACTCAGATATTCATTTTGGAAATTATTCACAAAAAAATCTCAAACATTAATTTTATGTTATTTCTCGAAAAATATAATACATTATATTTTGTGTTTATTACATATGCAATTTAGCAATGTATTAAGACTGATAAGAGTGTGTAACTTATGATAAAGTATAGAACAGAACAGTGATATTAGTGCTTTTAAAATTTCTGTGAGGAAAATATGCAAATTTAGTATATAATGATTTAATGTGTGATTGAAAAAATTATGGGTTTATAATGACTGGAAAAAATTCATAAAATATTGCAAAAAGTTGTAATATGATATATTAATACAAGAAGAATAAAAAATTGAACAAAACAAACATAAAACTTTTTTAAACAAAATAAATAATGAATTATTTTTAATGCCTTATTATTTATTTAGATTTAGTTTGACAGTAAATCTGCAAGACTACTGCAGAAACTAACAAAATTTTGTCATTTGCAACCAACCATTTTATTTTTTAAGTGACACAATGATAAAGCCATTCACTTAAAAGTTTTTCTGATAAAGTAAATAATTTTATTAAAATTTTAAATTTGATGAAAACTATTTTCACAAAAGTATAATCAAACATTAATTTTATGTTATTTCTTAAAACTTGGTTTTGAAAAATCATTTTGCAGATATAACTTCAATATATAATCACTGAATTTGCATATATAGTCACTGAATTTACATTTATGATCACTGAATTTGCATATATAATCACTGAATTTGCATATATAATCACTGAATTTGCGCATATAATCACTGAATTTGCATTTATGATCACTGAATTTGCGCATATAATCACTGAATTTGCATTTATGATCACTGAATCTGCATATATAATCACTGAATTCAAATATTAACTTTAAATATTTTTGATAAAATAATGATAGGCAGCGCACATCATCACTTATTTTATTATCGTTATTTAATTACTAATTTGTTTATACCTTTTTTATCAAAATGAATGATAACAATTAATGCTGATATATCTGCACGACAAAAATTTGAAAATTCATAAAACAAAAAGCTCAACTAAATTTAACAGATTAAAACTAAATCAAAGTTTTAATTAATCTTATCAGCGAGAGTTTTTTGTCATTATCACTTACTTTATTTATCTAGCCAATATTACGCCACCATACAATCTAATTACTGTAGGAATACAAATTTTGTAGTAAAGCGAAATAAAAAGACTGTATGTATCTTTGAAGACTGAGATTCAGAATGAAAAATGTTGCTTGCTAAAAGAGAGCACTACTTCGTGCTAGGTGGTTCATTCTAGACTGTTAAGGATAAGTCTCTTTTTCGCTTATTTTTCCAGCAAAAGTGAAAATTTTTTACCATAATTTACCTACTTCAACTTATCATTTATGTCAATTTATTCGAATAAAATAAT